ACACTATCCCTAATCACCTAAACTCCACCCCACCCCACCATTTCCCTCATCAGTCACCATAGACTCTCTCTCTCTCTCTCTCTCTCTCTCTCTCTCGTCTTTACTGTCCGCCGGAATCCACCGCCGGAAATCACCGCCACTGCCGAAATTCACCACCTCCACAGCTGGAAATCATTGCCACTGCCGGAATACACCACCGCAACTGCCGGCAATCACTGCAACCGCCATAAAACCACCACGTTTGCTGGAATCCACCACCTAGCCCTGTGAATATCTGAAAGACCACCGCCACAGTCATCCTTGTCTGATTATCTCTATCACAGTCAATCTGAAACCCTCACTGCCGATCTATCTCTCTCAACAACGATCTGAAAACCCTCTTGATCGGAACGGTAGAAACCACCACCACCCCCTTCGAAAGTCCAGATCTATGGCGTTGGAGTTCAAGTCTACGTCGGAAACCATTTTCACTACCACAACTCAACGTCGTAAGTTTAGATCTATGCCTGAAACGATTGTCACTACCACAGCTCAATGCCGTCTCCACCACCTTTGTCGTTGGAGTTCAGATCTACGTCAAGAACTCTGACGGCGCTGTAAGTGGTTAGGGTTTCTGGTGGTGGTACGATGAACGAAAGAAGGGTGGCGTCGGTTGTGGTTCTTCGATGGTTTTCAGATCGACGTACCGGTTGGTGGTGGTGGTTGTTTATATTTTTCCGGCGAAGTTTAGATGTAGGATTGGTGGTCAGGTCTAGGTCGATGGTGTTGGTTTGGATGGTCCGAAGAAAAGGGGGATCTCCGGTGAATAGGGTGATCCGACAGGCTGAGGTGGTATGGTAGATGGTGGAGGTCCGACAGGCGGTGGTCGGTGGTGGTCCATAGCAGTGGTGGTGGTCCGACATTAATAAAGAAGGTGAGAGAGAATATGTATCCAATGTAATTAAGAGTGATAATGGGTGGTGGGTTAGTAGGAGGTGGGGGTATATACTTATTTTTTGTTTTTCTTTTAATTAGAAAAATATTAAGTAAATAAAAAATATAAAATACCTAGGGAAAAATCGGCATTTTAAAAAGTTTAAAACAAATTGGACCAAACTTACAACTAAAAGAAAACTTTGGACTTCTAGTGCTAGTCTAAACTTTTTTGGACTAAAGTGTCAATTTTCGACATACCATAGGGACTATTTGTGCAGTTTAGTCTATTAGATATCGTCTCATATATATATAATATATCGTTTTCTGACAATTGTGGTTTTTTGGACCGGTTGAGAGCAATGATATTATTCTACGTTAATTATCATGTTTTTGGACCTGTTCAAGTATTATGAGCGCTATATAGTTATGCATAAGGCCTAATTGTTTTACTATTAAAATTACCATGTTTTTGTTTGTTCTTGTAATAATTTTGTGTCTAATGAAAGTGGCTAACTGATTATGTTTATCTAAATTTTAACTTGATTATGAAATACCTAAGAGAATGCTTATACAATGAATTTAAGCCTTAAGCTTCAATCATGCCGCCAAATCATCCAAAAGTTCAATAAGACATGGAACTAAAACATAAAGTAAGAATTTAAATCGTTTCTCAATTTGGAAAAAGACACAAATATACTTGTAGTGACATTTGATTAACTAGCAACGACAACTATAACATGATTAAAATAACTGAGTAAATAAATTATGAAACACCTGGTGGGCATGCATGAAACTGTGGTTTATAGGCGACATAAATTGTCACATCGTCATTCACCATTGCTTGTTAGCCATATGTATCTTGAATTACACGAGGATGACGAGTCATGCCGCTTGGTTGTGAGCCACCATATGAACAACATCAACCAAAATGTAAGCTTTATGGATTTTAGATGGCCTTCTAGGTTCAAGAATCGAAGCCATTTCAAGAAACCAACAGTTATAAGATACAAAACAAAAAATTTTCTGATGAAGATCAAGGGTTTGAAGTGGATCATCACATCTGTCACATCACCACCATTTGTCTCCAACCATCGATGATGAACTCGATCACTTTTACCAAACTTAAATTTATGGTTGTTCATTTTGCTTGTATGATTAGATATTTTCTCATGGATCTGGAATGTATCGAAATACTCATCGTTAAAAGATTTAGTTAGTAAATTCTAAAAGAAGAGCATAGAAAAAAGGAAAATACCCTCATGTGCATGGCACATGAGGTTTCTTGACCAAAACAAAGTAACGGGCGTTAGTGCAAGGGACTAACCTTGCTGATATAGTTTGAAATAGGGACCAATGTTGCAGCAAAGCTCATATTTGGACAAACCATGCAATAAACACTACACAGGACCAAACATGTAATTTTGTCTTAGTCCCACAAGAATTCTACTGTGAATCTGAAACTAATATTCTTCAACATAATAATCTTGAATTTGTTTCGAATAATTTAACAAACTCTATATGTTAGAAATTGTTTTTCGCATTTGCAATGTTTAACCAATAAGTCGTTGCCAGATGTTAATGGAGCCCACTCTCGTATGAAGTATTTTCTATTGTCTTGATAAACTAGCTTTGTCTTTTTTATATATTCGTTATGAGGCGCGATAAAATTATAATATCAAAAGTTTAAGGTATCTTCAATAATGTCATTTGTTGTGTTGTACATCTATAAACGACAAAAAGAAAACCCCATCTCCTGTAGTTTAGAATATATCCTATGTACATGTTCACATGTAGCAAAGGACAACTTAGATGCACTACTTGCATACTTTGAATCACTGAAAAGTCACACGATAATATTAAAAGTATTCAATTTTGTCTAGATCCATCGTGAAAGTACAAATATTTATAAAATTAGCCTGTATTTCTCATATCGGTCTGATATATGGTTTCTTATTTCTTTATATAAATGTTGTATTATTTCTTTTTATAAAGATTTTTTTAGGATAGTTAATATTAAACTCCACATTATGTCCCGTGACTTAACACATAATTGTATGACTTCATCAGTGTTAATGTCTCCCACAACGGTACGATATATGTTGAAGTCTCTATTATCTCCATAAGGCTTTAACATCTAAGACCCTTCTGATTATCTATCTCGATGCATTGATATCAACATTATAATTGAGTTTAGTTTATCTATCAAACTAAGGGTATGTGTTCAAATTTGTAGATATTATTAGTGTCTCTACATCGTCTAGACAAAGTCTCATGCGTCTTTTCTACCAACTCCATAAGACTCTTTTGGAGAGTAAACCAATTACTCCACATATATTTTATATGGTATCAGATCCGACATCTATATCATTTGTGACTTAATACCTCCTTGTCTATCTTCATCGAGCCTCCATCTCCAAAAGGGAATATAAGTGTATCTCATATCAACTAGACACCGTCTTATGCATATCTATATGTTGGAGTATACCTTCTTTTTATAATGGCTGTTGTAAAAGGTAATATATGACCAGATCTATGTAATAATTTACATAGATGATCAGATCTACATATCTTATATATGTAATCATCTATATTTTCCCATAACTCGACATTTCATTAGATACCCGCAATATATACATGATACATGAATAATGAGAAAAAGGACAAACATATGGCCGTATTATATGCTAATAATACAAATAATACATAATAATGATACGCTAACAGCCCCCCGTAGATTGAATGGGGGTAGAGTCTCGAACATTCAAGTTGGACCGAAAATCAAGAAACAGAGGAGATGAAAGGTTCCTGGTAAAAAATGTCTACATATTGAGAAGAAGATGGAACATGAAGGACATGAACGTGACCAGTGGCGACTTTTTTCTCGAAAAAAATGCAAATCAATCTCTATATGAAAAAAATGCAAATCAATCTCTATATGGTTCGTGCATTGATAATGAACCAGATTAGATAACATGTAGACAACATTAACATTATCACAATAAATGATAGTAGCCTTGGCAGGCATATAATGAAGCTCAAGAAGTAAATTACGAAGCCAACAAGTTTCTGCCACCGCATTTGCAACCACCTGCATTCAGCTTCAACATTTGACCGAGATATTGTGTTCTGGCATTCGGAGGCCCAAGAAAGAATATTTTGATCTGAAATGACACAATAACCAGATGTAGAGTGTTGTATCACGGGACACCTGACCCAGTTAGCATCAGAGTAGGCAGTAAGGGAACGATTGGGAGAGGAATACAATTATAGTCCATAAGCAGTAGTGCCTCTTACATAACGTAAAAATACATTTAAAAGCGGTAAAATAAGGCTCCCGTGGGTCATGCATGAATAAACATATATGTTACACATAAAAGTGATGTCAAGACGAGTAAACGTGAGATAATGTAATGCACTAGCCAAGCTGCGATATAAAGTGAGATCATCAACGGGAGGACCATACACTATGATGAAGTGTCAAAAGCAAAAAAAAAAAAAAAAAAAAAAAAAAAAAAAAAAAAAAAAAGGCAAAAGACACCATTTTTTCTTTGCGATTTTGACACTAAGATTTCAATCTTTTCTAATTTTGACAATAAGTTTTCGGTTTTCTCCAATTTGCAACATAAATAAAATAAGCATATCCAATTTCCACCCCATCAATGAAAATCTTCATTTTGTATATAGTTTTTGTTTATCCTATATTTCTAAATAAAATTTGAACTATAGAACCTTAATTTTTCATAGTATATACCCTTTCGGTTTCACTTATTCTTTAATCGAGTACTTTTACTCACTTTCTTTTGTCTATCCTCCCTCGTTTCTCTGACCTTTCCTCGTGTATGTAAATAACTTGTTTTCATAACTCAAAATCATGTTTGCTTTTTAGTCGTAAAAACATTCGTAGTGCATGTTTTGTGACTCAAAATGTAACACTCGGTTCAGGTGAATATTTTATCAAGTTCAAAATTGGGAATTTTAACCCGACTCACGACGCGAAGGATGTTTGTCACGTTGTGAGGAAAATTATGGATGCGCACATCAGCTTTGGGCTCACGACGTGAGCACATACGGCTGACGACGTGAGGCCGGTCTGAGAGGAAAACCCTAATTTTGGGGGTTTTTTATTATGTATTTAAAGGAAGTGAGGGCTAGATTTATCCCACCCTCAGCCCCCCATCACCTCCTTGCGCTCCCCTTTGAAACCCTAGCATCCATATTTGATCTTGAGCTTATTTGTGGTGATTCTAGCCAAGAAGAAGAGGAAGAGCATCTAGTCCATCATTTTTGCATCTAAGCCTCATCATCAATCATTTTCACACCTTTTGGACCTTTTGTAAGTTTCAAGTTCATTGCTTTATGAGTCTATAAGCTTAGATCTAGATTCTTATGCTTTTTCCTTCATATGCAAGATGATGTAGTGGTTGGAATCCATAAAGTAACCAACTTTATGGATCTACAGTATCCCTTGAGTAGTATAGATGCTCGATCTGGAATATGGTTGAGTTTTATGACTCTTGCATGCGAGATGGTATCATTTCCTCCTTTTGTGCCCTAGTTAGTGTTTGGGACATGCATTGGAAATACATGTCCAAAAAGCCAGGATTTTTATGATCTTCTGGAGTAAATAAGACACTATGGAGGATTAGCTTGCTTGTCCAAAAAGGGGCTAAGAGTTTTATTAAGAACTTCTGTCCAAAGCATTCTCACAACGTGAGCACTTTGGTGTCACGACGTGAGGATGGTATTCCTCGTCTATTTTTACTTATTAGGTCACGACGTGACCTCTAGGGGGTCACGACGTGACGAGTGATTGTGGGACTGTTTGTAACACCTATTCCAGGTATTAATGTAATTTTCAAAATTTTAAGGTTTTGGCACTGGGACTCGACGAGTTGGGAGCCCCGACTCGTCGAGTGGAGGCTATCAAAAGGACGCAGAAGTTAGGCCCTACTCGACGAGTCGGAAGGCCCGACTCGACGAGTTAGAG